CTTCCAGTTTTTCTCCATTTAGAATTATGTTGGCTGTGTGTTAGTTTATATATGGCTTTAATTATGTTGAGGCATGTTCCCTCCAGTCCAGTTCCCCCTAGGACTTTCAACATAAATGCTTGCTGAATTTTGTCCAAGGCCTTCTCTGCATCTATTGAGATGATCATGTGGTTCTTGTCTTTGAGCCCATTTATATGATTTATGATGTTTATTGACTTACATATATTGAACCATCCCTGCATCTCTGGGATAAAGCTAACTTGATCATGGTGGATGAACTTCTTGATGTGTGTCTGTATGTGGTTTGCAAGTATTTTGTTGAGAATTTTTGCATCTATGTTCATTAAGGATATGGTTCTATAGTTTTCTTTTTTGATTGTATCTTTATCAGGCTTTGGTATTAGAGTGATGCTGGCTTCATAGAAGGCATTTGGAAGTTCTCCCTCCATGTCTACTTTTTTTGAATAAACTAAGTAGTATTGGATGCAGATCTTCTTTAAATGTCTGATAGAATTCTGCTGTAAATCCATCTGGTCCTGGGCTTTTTTTATTCGGGGGGGTTTGGATTACTGTTTCAATTTCCTTACGTGTTATGGATCTGTTTAAGCTGTTAATCTCTTCTTAGTTTAGTTTTGGTGGTTCCCATGCCTTTACATACCCGTTCATTAGTAGCATATAGGTATTTAAAGTATTCCCTTATAATATTATGGATCTTTCTGGTGTCTGTTGTGATAGTTCCCCTTTCATCTTTGATTTTGTTGATTTGGAGCTGCTCTTTCTTTCTTTTGGTTAACTGGGCTAGCGGTCTGTCAATCTTGTTTATCTTTTCAAAGAACCAGCTCTTGGATTTGTTGATTCTTTGTATTGTTTTGTTTCGATTTTATTAATTTCTGCTCTGATTTTTTGTTATTTCTTTTTGTCTGCTGAGTTTGGGTTTCATTTGTTGTTGCTTTTCAAGTGTCTTGAGTTGCATTAAGTCTTTTTTTGTGTTCTTTCTGAATTTTTCTTTTATGTAGGCACTTAGAGCTATGAACTTCCCTCCCAGGACAGCTTTCAACATGTCCCAGAGGTTTTGTTGTGTTATATTGTCCTTTTCATTTAGTTCCAGTGATACTATTATTTCTTTCTTAATTTCTCTTTTGACCCATTTATCATTCAGGAGTGTGTTGTCTAATCTCCATGTATACATGTGGTAACTAGGGCTTCTTCTGGTGTTGATTTTAAGCTTTATTGCATTGTGGTCTGATAGAATGCATGGAATTATTTCAATCTTTTTGTATTTGTTGAGGTTTGTTTTGTGCCCCAGTATATGGTCGATTTTGGAGAAGGTTCCCTGGGGTGCTGAATAGAAAGTATGTCCTTGGGTGCTTGGGTGGAATACTTGGTAGATGTCTGTTAGGTCCATTTGATATATGGTATTGCTTAATTCTGATGTCTCTCTGTTAATTCGCT